CCTAAACCCCAAACCCTATAATCCTATAACCCTAAACCCAAAACCTAAGTACCGTAACCCCCCGGGCTCCGCAGGCGCACCTCAGCGGCATCTTCCGGGTCCGGCAGCTGGAACAAGGTCCCGGTTTAGGGTTTAGGGTATGGGGTTTAGGGTATAGGGCTCAGGGTTAAAGGCTTTGGGTTTAGGGCTTTGGTTTTAGGGTTTAGGGCTTTAGTTTTAGGGTTTAGGGCTTCGGGCTTATCGGCCGATTTGTTTTCCGGTCGGCTTTAAGCTTATAGAGTTCTGAGTTATAGGGCTTATAGCGTTTAGGGCTTGTTGGGTTTCAAGGTTTAAGCGCTTAGGGCCTATAGGGGGTTTTAGGGTTGAGATGGGTTGAGTGTTTCAGGGTTAAGGGTTTAGGGGGCTAGCCTAGGATCGACATAAATATCACAAATATTCCTTTTCCTTATAGGAGCATCACCCGACACCCTATTCGACTTACTTCGACCCCTATTTTGGCCTGGGGATGGGATTATTGATGGCATTTCCCTCTGTTGTATGTGTCATGTGTATGTATGCCAGTGCAGATTCCACCTTTCTGAACTTGAGTTCAGACTAGTGCTGGTTGGTTCTACGGGCCCATAATCGCGCACTTTAAGGCCTCGACTCGGCTACTTATCTAAGGCGCGGCGACCCGCCCGAAGCAGATTCATGGTGATGAGTTGCTGTCGTGCTCCTGCTTCAAACGAAGTGTGCGTGTATGTGTGTTGGTTTGAAGGAAAAGCCGGAAACAGTGGTATAGAAATTCAACACACAATCGAGCTTTTACTCGGAAGCCCCAAACCGAACTTAACGGTCTTGAAAGCCACTTTCCAAGCGAAGTGGGCTTGGCAGGGATGTTCATCACTGCCAGCCGGGATCGCACCATGAAGGCAGCGATCTGAATTTGGTCATACAAGAGTGCTTCCTTATCTTGGCGGGGATCCCACAATCTTGTCTGAAGATTCACTCGGTTTAAAGTATTACAGAATCCGCAGTTTTCCTTATTATACTACTACAATGTACCCTAAAGCCCTATTCTAGTTATTTGGGCCCCTACATTATCGTGGCGTGAGGTCCGGGGGTCGTCCCTAACTTGTGGAGAGCCTCGCAACGAAGGAGTCGAGCTCTGGTGTTGTTCAGGGTTTTTATTAGGGTTATAGATGAATGTTTAGGGTTTAGGGTTTAGGATTTAGTACCCTTTTGCCTTTTTTGGGGGCTCCCTTGCTTTAGCGAAATTAGTAGGAAAAGGGTACCCTTCGTAGTAGGGGGCTGCTCAGGAACCCAGTTAGCCTGCTTGTCTTCAAAGTGTTTTTTGAGTTGCACGCATGTCAGCGAGGCGTCTTCAGAAGCCAAAGGAGACTTGAAGGACATGTCGGTGTAGGAATCATGAATACGAAATGATTAAGTTTCCTTGCTTAGTGCTCCCTTCTCTTCTCATAGTATATACATGAACATCGGGCTATTAATCATGAACGGAACTATTCCTTTCTTAGGGCTCCTTTCTATTATCATACTATACTGTACAGAAAACCATGTTCTAGCTTTTCTGGCCGGGAAAGCCTCCACCAATTGCCTTCGAGACGGATGCCAGGTTTGGTTGTCCTCGACGTGGCAGGCACAACCAGCGGCAAGAGCTGTCGCCTTCAGTGCTGGCACTTCGGTTTGGTTGTCAGGAGTAATATCCCCAACTCAGAATGCCCATGCTTAGGTGCGCTTTTTTTTGCTCACTCCAGCCATGTCGGGCATGTCGGGCGCCAGGCGAGGCGCACCCTTGCGCCGCCACACTACGACGGGGTGTTTCCCTGCACGTGTTATACCGCAAGACTCGGCCAGGCTTTCCAGTCTACTACATGAGCCTAAATAATTACCAATATTACTCCTTAGGGTTCCTTATATTCTGGTTATAGTGTAATATACCCGAAACCCTATTCTAACTATTGCGGCTCTTACAGTCGACCACAGTTGTTGCGGACCTGAAGGGGTTGGGATGAAATCTGCACGGCCGGCTGGTGCACTAAACCCTAAGCCCTAAACCCTAAACCCTAAACCCCAAACATCATCCTCAGAAGCTGCTGCAGGCTATGCCTCCCGGAAGCTTCCGCAGTTATGGTTTAGAGTTTAGGGCTTAGGGTTTAGGGTTTAGGGTTTAAGGTTTAGGGTTTAGGGTTAAGGGTTTAGGGTTTGTATGGGGGTTGTCGAAAATAGGGGACCCTGATCAAGTACCCCAAATAGTAGGATCCTTACTATAAGGACCCCAAACTAAGGTAGCCCATATCTTCGGGAACTCCAGTACAGAGATTTGCAGAACCTGCGCATTTTCCTAGCAAGCCGAGTTTGCTGGTTCTGGCTCAAAGCCGTGCAGTGTCTGATCACCAAGCTCATCGTCGGAACAGCTGATGCCTTTACAGCTTCTCACCCCCCAAAAGACTCAGTTCTAAAATCGGCTTGTGCACCCGCATAAGGTTGAACCCGAGTTGTGACAGCCGCATCGAAGGATGTGTGTATGCTTACATGTCAACTAGGCCTTCTCCCTCATCAATGATGACGTGTTGCAACCGATTTCGAAGACCCGAAATGTGGCACTCAAGCAGGTCTAAGGTTCAGGGCTCCCGTCACATTAAACTTTGACTCGATGGCAACAGCCCAGCGCCTCCTTGCGGATGCCGAAGCTGCCGATGCAGCTGCCTTCACCATGGAGGAGGCCTCTCCGCTGTGTGCAGGATTTGGGGCTTGGGGGGCTGTAGTATTCGAGTTGTAGGTGAGCAGTAGTAGGGGCTGGGGATCTCTAAACCCTGAGCCCTAGATGGCGTTTGGGCGTCGGGTTATTGGTAGCTAGAACTAGGATATTGAGGTCAACCGCTTGGGGGTGCTTGCCAGTCGGAACTCACTGCGACTCTTCAGCCCGTAGCAAAAGAGGGCACTAATGATTGGCATGAAGGGCTCCTTTTCAAGGGATCTAGAAGGGAGCGGTTACTATAATGTAAGGGCCTTAATAATTAGAATAGGGTTTGGGGTATATTATACTATACCTATAATAAAGAACCCCCACAAAAAATATTATAGGTAATTCTTAAGACCCCTATACTAAGGGCCACTGCAGTTGTCCCGATGCTTGTCAGGTCCCTTTGATTTCCGAGTTCGCGGCCAGACCGGGGATGCTTGTGTGTGAACACAAGAAGGGTGTACTATCGGGGCCTTAATGGCTTAGGGTTTAGGGTTTAGGGTTTAGGGTATTATACTATAGTCATAATAAGGACCCCCCCAAAAGCCTAGTCTAATTATTCTGGCTGCTACAGTGTTTGCAAAGACCCCCAAACTCATAAAAACAAGGTGTTCAGGGTTTTCTTTTGGGCGTTTGGGGGCTTTATTGTGTTGGGCTCTGGTCAACCATGATGTGCCTGAACACCCCTTGGGCCTTGAAATCACAGGTGGAGAAGCACAACAGCCGCACTGACGCTTGGATCGTCTTGAACGGCGAGGCTCTCGATGTAACGATGCTGGGACGGAAGAGTTTTTTTGGGCTGCTCTACTGGGGTCGCGACAAGTTTTCCTATTAGATATTACCAGCAGAGTAGAAATGATCGGAGTTTAGGGAACATCAGCCCCTGAACCCTTTTAAAGCACCAAATCCTAAGCTCCATAAACCTCCTTGTTCATTAACCCTCTCAAGCCCACCAACGGGCCTGCAAAATCAATCACTTTGCACTCCAAGCCCAGGGTTCTCGTTCAAAAACTTAAGTTTAGGGTTTAGGGTCTAGGGTTTCGGGGTTTAGGGCTTATGGGTTTTAGCGGTTTTTTGCGTTTAGGGTTTGAGGGTTTTAGAGTTTAGGGATTTAGGGGTTTAGGTGTTTAGGGTTTAGAGTTTAAGTTGATTCCGGAATATGGAATCAACATTATCCCTATAAGCCCCATCATTATTGCATGCAAGTAAGTTCCTCCTAGACCCTATTCTGTAAATTCAACTAAAATGCTTGCTAAGCCCTAAACCCTGAAACCTATCCTGGTAACCTTTACTAAGTCCTTAACTTCCAAATTTTGCACTCCAAACCCTAAACCCTAAACCCTAAACCCTAGACCCTAAACCCTAAACCCTAGACCCTAAACCCTAAACCCTAAACTGGCGCCTTGAGGAACTGGATTCCGCTCCACCCCGGTGGAGAACAAACCATTTCTGCTTTCCTGGGCAAGGAAGGGTTTTGAGGTTTGGGGTTTGGGCTGAATTATGAGGGGTTACAGGGTTTAGGGTTTGGGGCGTATGGGGTTGAGGATTTGGGGTTAGGGTTTAGCGTTTTGGGGGCTCAAACAGGGCCAAGTACAGGGTTTGGGTTTGGTGTGCAGGGCTTAACTACAGGGTTTTAGAGTTTGAGTTTGGGGTTATGTTTCCTGGGCAGGGAGGCGTTTTGGGTGTTTGGGTTGAACGAGGGTTACAGGGCTTGGATTTGGAGCTTAGCACTTTTAGGGTTTAGGGTTTGGGGTTGGGGTTTAGGCATAGTTTCGGTTTCGGGCTTCAGGAAGGGGTTACGTTTGGGTTTGGGGCTTCGGGCTTTTGGGGTTATGGGGTGTGGGATTGGGGTGTAGGGTTTTCGGTTTTGGTTTTCTGGTTGAAGGATTAATTAACGCCGTGCGGGCTTTATTTTCGCAGCATGCGTGACACTTATTGCTGAACAGGCTGAAAGCAAACGATCGGCGAATCTGTTTCACCTAAACCTCCCTAATCCCGAAACCCCGCAATGTCCCATACTCCAACAGAACGCACAGTAGTATTTTGACTATTGCAAACCCTAAATCTCAAACCCGAAAGTCCCTAAAGCCCTAAGCATTAAGCCCTAAACCCCACGCCCCAAACCCTAAACCCTAAACCCTAAGCCCTAAAGCTTATAGCCCCTACTTTCAGCCGCTTGACTGCACGCCTCGCAGGACGCGTCCACGGAGTGGAACATGATCCACCAGCCCGGGACTCCTCAACTTAAGCGTAATGGACGGTTTAGGGTTTTGGGTTTGGGGTTTAAGGTTTTGGGTTTAGGGTTTAGGGTTTAGGGTTTAGGGTCTAGGGTTTAGGGGTAATGGTAATCGGAATAGGAAGAGGAATTGGACAAAGATTTGGACTGGTGAAAGTAGTCATAGTAATGGAAAAGTCTCGGGGTTTAGGGTTTCCGGACGTTTGGGGCTTCGGGTTTAGGGGTTAAAGGTTATGTGTTTAGGGGTTTGTGTTTAGGGGGTTTAGCTGTTTCGGGTTTTGGCTACGTAGGCTTTGTTTAGGGTGTTGGAGGCAGTGGTACCCTTTTCCTTTTTGTTGTTTTGGGGTCTCTTGATTTAGAGCTGCGTGGCTCTTCTAGATGTAGGGTTTTGGATCTTGGGTTTCGGATATCGAGATTTGTTGAGAGCTGGTTCTCAGAGGGATGGAGATTGTTGGGTCAGGGTTGGGGATTTACTTGGAGGATCATGGGACTTAGTAAGTAAAGTTCTACGCACCTTAATTGGAGTTTTTAAGTTACGTACTTATAGCTGTAGCTGCCTTATTCATAACCCTGGTCCCTAAACCCTAAACCCCTAAACCCTAAACCCATGATCCTCTAAGCCGGGTTTCGAGTTCGGGATTACCGGCCAGGGTTTCGGTTTCTGCAAAAACCCAGAGGCTGCCACCGCTTGCAGAAAGAACTCCGGTTTAGGCTTTAGGGTGGTCTTGCCATGCGACGGCATGAACTCAGGGTTTCCGTAGAGCTATAAGGGTGGGGTTTAGGGTTTAGGGTTTAGGGTTTAGGGTTTAGGGTTTAGGGTTTAGGGTTCAGTATAAGGAGTTGGAAAGCCCGTGCTGGCTTCCAGTCACATGCTGCGAGGACGGTGGAGCGGCATGGGCGCTTCGTGAAGAAACTGGGGCCTGCACCTTGGTTCGAACGGTAATAATGGGGCCTAAACAATTACCATTTTATTTTTTTTGGGGGGGGTTCCTTATTATAAGTCTAGTATAATATACCCCAAAAACCTATGCTAATTATTAAGGCCCCTACATTAGTGGGAGGGCCGGTGCAGAGTCCACGCAACGAATGTCTTCTAGCCCGAACTCGCAGAGGCCCCAAAGCCGCGAATCCTTGCATCCAGGTCGCCAGCGCTGAGCCTCCGGCGACGGTGCAGGGAGCTGCTGGCTACGGTTCCGGCTCCTTGGAATAAGCTATCATAGACAGAGGAAGCGCCAAAATTGGTAGGCATCTCTTGATTACACCTTCAAACGTCTTGTGAACAACTGAGCATCTCGCGCAGTGACGTCTCGTACTTAGTACTTGCGGCCTCTGAAGCCATGTTTCCTTAACCCAAAGGCTCCGTGTACCTTTATAGTGGATACTTAGCCCTTAAAGGGGTCCTTATATAGGTACTTTAAGGCTCTACTAGATGGGTACATGGAGCCTTAGGGTAGTAAGTGCCATCACGTCTTCCGTCCTGCCTGGCAAGTCTCTGCAGACGCTGCCTTGAATGGCAGACGCAGAAATCTCCCGACTTTCTTCCAAAGATCGGCCATGCACGACAAGCAAGTTGGGAGGGTTCCTGTCAGAAGTATGACATCTACTCCAAGCCCAATCCATGCTGACAATTCAGACACCTATACACCCCTAAACCCCCAAACCCC